AATTATCTCGCCTACAGTTCGTTTGTTTTAAAACATCATTTATTTTCACTGACGCTATTGTGTCACTCTAACTAGGTTGCATCCTACTACTACACTGAAACTGCTCTACGTGTTAGGCACAAAAGCACACTGGAACCCAATTTCCAATGAAATTCATTGGAAATTTAAATCTTTATTTGTAATGCATCAAAACTCACTCGACTTTCAGGCTTGCAACACCTAATTTATAATATATCTTTATCTTAATCCAAATTCACCCATATTTTCAACAAGTCCGCTAGGAATATACAGATCTACATTTTCGAACCCTACTCACTACGCACCTATTAATGCTGTCGATTGAAATTCTAGCTACCTATTTGCCTCATACACAGATCAATTATGAAAATGATTTAGTATAGGTCTGGTTTGCGTTGAAAATCTAATTTGCCCTGGTTCCCTCGGAAACCGTGGCTATGTGGCGAAGTTGCAATGTATATGATAAACGCTCACCCTATTTCCTTTTAAGGTGATGAAAGACTGGTGGTTAAATTTTCCCAAATTTATATGAGTAGACATTAATGTTCATTCATATCATCATGGTATTATTCAACAACCAGTCCTTCATCACTTTAAAACGAAATAGTGTAGTCTATAAAACCTACTTATAAACGAAAATGAAGTGGTGACATGTTGGAGTGTCTTTCATTTCGTTTGAAGAGGTGAGTGGAAGGGATTCGTAAGTTGGTTCCACCGAACACTTATTGGCACAAATCTAAAGCCACAGCTCCAAGACAACCTCCCCACTTACGAACTCCTTTTACTTGCCTCTTCAAGCGAAATGAAAGGTACTCCAACATCAATCTAGTAAGGGCCTTTTCGAAACCCATTTTTTCTACATACCGAAGTGAAATTTATTGGCATCATAAGATCTACTTATTTTATTGTGGAAAACTTCAACTAATATTAAATAAATCACCTCAAGCGATCTAGGGGGACTCAACCTCTTACTAAATGTCTACCAAGAGTTTATAATCATACTACTCCAGTGTTTCCAACTCTCAGCTACAACGCACTTTAAGCCACCACGAGTCATGCACCTGGCCTTCTGTTGGTGTGTCAGTCTATCGCCTAGTCTATCACATGATTAGCCTAAAGTGGAGGCCTCACGAATTCAGTAATAGAGACCATTTCTGAGTTTACTACGACGATCGGCGATTGCATCGTTACAGACTTAATTATGCCTTTACTCGGCCGTCTTGACTTTCTCCTCGGCCTTAACCCCGATTACTCAACGGTGGGGGTCGTGTGCTCCAAGCTACAAAGGCTTCGATTCCTCATGGGGTTGCTGATGCTACCTAGGCGGGTTCTAACCTGCAATTCATTGGAATTGTGAGGCCCTTTACCTTGTTCCTTGCGGAAATGTTAACTAACAGGCCCTACCTCGTATCAAGTGCCCTGAAGTGATTCGACTTCTTATTCAAGATATACAGACCCACTCAAAAATTACCCAGCCAGAACACAGACGGAATCACTTACACCGTCGCCGTGACAGCCCACGCCATTTTGGACCTCCTGAATCAGTCATCCTGTTTTCCGGCAATAGCGTCATTTGCGTTTCCATGTGTGTAGCTATCGCCATATGGCTTGTATGCGATGAAGGAGGTGCCGGTAGATGCGGGAGTGTATTGGTAAGGCAAATGGCCTTGTATAAACTTCATCAAAAGGCAAAAGATCGGCTTAGACGCAGCCCACTGAAATCTGTAGATTGCGAGCAGGTGCATAAATTAACCTGCCTTTGCAGAGGGTATGCGCAATTCTGCCCAAAATGCGGTAAAACTGAACTATGCCATTAACTAAACGGCACACTAGCGGATCGACGCCCTGCACTCCGACCACAATAGTTGCTGACCGGGGAGCGCTGGATGCCGCTTTATGGCGACGCCAATTCCGCAAGGTAAAAACAAGTCTCCTGGCCGCCTGCGTCACCGTCGGCACCAAAGATGCTCAATCACACGAAGTCGTTCCATCTGATGGGTTGACTCGAAATAGGCATTTTTTGATAATTATCTTCATTCTTAGGTTTTGTAGCATTGACAGACTGCATTTGCCCAATAGAACTAAGCGAGTCCTTCAGAGTGCATCTTATGATTTAGTTAATTTCATACTTCTAGAAAACAGTATAAAATCGCATGCTTTGATAAAGAGAAAGCCAGATTACGGCAATAATTGTCTGACACTCTTGGCTCCAATAGATTCCTTTAGTTGCAAACAATAGCAGATACGTTAGATGATAGATTTTTTCAGCAGGTAATGAAGAACTAAGCATGATAAAAAGCTTAGGAATTTGGGTATAAGAATCAAGACAAGGAGTTTTCTTATCGGATAACTTTAAAGGTAGAGTAGAGTGGGCGATAAAGTGATGAATCTGTCCGAAACGGCATTCCAAATTGCTACTGTGAAAGCTCTCTCAAAAGGGTTGAACTTTGCTGGACAGTAAAGATAACAGGAAGGAAATATTGCTATACCCCATAAGCTTTGCCGAGCGTTTTTTCGAAGAGACCAGAAGGGATATGGAATTACATGTTATCCCTTTACGTGGTAGTCATGCCAAGGAACCGTCTAGGAATAGGAGAGTGAATATCAACACAATACGAATAAGTTACGAGGATAAAATAGCACTGATGGCAGAAAAAGACGTAGCAGTTGTTGTCATGGCTAGAGGGGTCAATGAGGCTTACCATTAACGGCGATCATGACGTCTATATTCAGGTGTTATCTACTCCATCGTATAGCAATGAGTAAACAGTACCAATAAGTACTGCTGGGCCGGTGTAGAAGGCTTTACTGGTCCTCGAATCTGCTTGGCACTCTCACACACTACTCAACTCATGTGCATTGAAGGCACACAAGACATGTGGACTGAGACACAGCATTGCAGGATTCAAATTACGCGCGATTTAGGCGAAAATGTGTCTAGTTGCTCACAGATGCGTCCACGTGGAGCATAAAATGGCTAACCAAATCATGAGAGGTGTTGGTAAATAGACGAAGCCGTGCTATACGAAGTAGATGGGACTGCAACCGGCCTCATTTGTTGTCTTCATGCTTGCCGGAATGAATGGCTTCCTGGTCTGAGGATGTTTGTAGCGGTGGGACAGACGCAGGTTCAACACGGATTCTTCGGGTTCGCAGAACGGTGATCTGAGTATTTACTCACATCAGCCTACAGTCAAAACTCCAGTGCAGTCCTTCTTCGACTTTTGCTGAGGCCAATTTACAAATCCATGCCAACATCGAAATAGGAGGGTTGACTTGAACGGTTCAAACGAAAGACTAATTAGGTATGTAGGAAAGTTGGGACTCGAAGAATCCCACTGGAGTACCTTTCATCTCGTCTGAAGAGACGTGTGGGAGGACTTCGTAAGTCTGCCTCATCGGAAGGTGTAGGGAATTGCCTTGGAACCGTGACTGTTGATTTATGCGAGTGGGTCCTCGACGCACCGCCCTGCGTCCCATATGCCCTCGTGTTTTGGTGAATTATTGTTAAGCATGATGTCCTGCTCAGACGATGTCCGCCACGTGGCGAACCAATTCTCAGCATGGAGTCATCGGGGTCGCAGGGCGGTGCGCACAAATCCACTGTGACGGATCCAAGGCAATCCTCCTATAGCTTCCAGTGATGCCAACTTACGAGTCTCTTTCATTCGCCTCTTCATACCAGATGAAGATTACTTCAACATCAAAATGCTAATTGTTTATAAATAAGCTTTCGAGACTAATACTAGTAGACTTTAATCATATCTCTTTGGGAAAGCTAATTC